AAAAAGAAATATTTACGTGTTCGTTTTGATAAGCAGTTACGGCAATAAATTGAGTCTCTGGAAAGACGAATACATTGACATTATCAAATGGTGCCATAGATAATTTTATATCATTATTTGATGAATTCATTGCTTGAATTATATGAAGACGAGGTAGATATTTATGCATAGAATTTAATACAATCTAACAATAACAAAAAGAAAAAAACTAGTTGAAAAAATTTAAAAAAAAAGAAAAACTTACATGTCCATTTTGATCAGCTGTATTATTGGTTAATTTAAGTTTACCGAATGATAATGGTTGTTTCATTAATTGTGCTCCTGTTGAATTACTATCCGGATGAGGATAAAATCGTCCTGGCACTAAGAAGGAAAAAAACAAATAGAATCTTTATTTATATGTCTTAATTTTAAGATATTAAACTTACTATGTGGCTCAGCTGCACCAGTAATCATCCATTGAGAATTATGATGTTTATATCGATGATTATCAACTGGTACAACATCCATATAGATTATATATTTGCTTGCTGGATCAAGTCCAGATAATGAAACTTTATAGGTTGGAAACATACGCCTAAAAAAATATTGATATGTAAACATTGACTACTACTGTGCGTTAAGAACAAAAAATCAATTAGTTCTTCAACCATCATTGACGTCAGACAATAAGGAAGCGTCAGTCAACGAGCAGATGTATCCAACAGTGGTCATGTCACCCACTCAATATATAAAACACCAACTGGGCATGAACGCACATCTCTCAAGAGATTGAGGCAATAAGGTGAGCAGAGCATACACATACAACTTGATCAACTAGTCCACTTAAATGACGAGAACAATCAAGTGAGAGAAAAGAGCTTGTCAGCTAATTATTTTTCGATAAAATTTCTATCAAAAATTCGATATACATATATATATTTATTTACCGTCCATTTTTTGTTATAATCATTTCTAAATTAAGTGCAGCAAAACGTTTCCATAGATCAAGATTTTCAAGTTTAACATCTATATTTGGATCAGCACGTTTTGTTGTATGAATAAATGTATATGGTGTTCGACTTGTATCTAAATTCATATGATTAGAAAATATTATTTTATAAACTTTCTTTTTTTTTGAATATTTACCAGTAAACGAAGACATATCTTCATATAAACCAAAACCAAACCCATATGCTGGCGGTGTTGTTGTATGTCCATAAACGAATGGTACTGGTGATCGATGATGATGAGGATGATGATGTGGATGAGAATATGAAATACGTGAAGATGAAGAAGCTGTTACTATTGCTGTAGATGTAGGATTGAAAATTCCATCAGTATCATCTTCATTTGGATATATTGATTTATTTCCTTCATCCGAAGATGTTGAACAGATGGCAAGCATCGATTCAGGTCCTAGTTGAGGTTGTAAATAGGATAACATTTATGATGTAATTTAATCGATACGTATATCGTTATGTTCAAGTCAAAACAATTGGCATAATGCTGTCACACAACGAGAGAAAAGCGAACGAGAGAGAGAGAGACAGAGAATATTTTGTTCTCGTCCAATGATTGTATTCATCCAATAAGAAACGAGAATAGAAAGAAAAAACAATTCTTCTTTTTCATCAAAATATTTGAAAGGTAGTCAATATTCTCCGTCGTCGTCGTCGTCTTCTTCTTCTTCTTTCTCAATAAACATTTATATTTATTGCAATTTCGACTATTACTACTCTATAAGCATACGTTTAGTTTTTATGATGTGTGACTATAATCGTTTATGGATAGAGAGACGGAGAGAGTAAAAGGGAGCAACATTAAAAAACTAGTCTTTTTTTTCCTTCTATTAGTTTTTTTAATATTGTCATTGATTCACAAGAGGATACATTGAAATAGTGTGAAAATCCCATTTACTAAATTAAAATTAACTATTCATATTTTTTTTCTCTCGTAAATGTATTTTATTTAATATGCATTGACACATTGAGTTTTACATTCTATTAAGTAAAATCATTTCAAATTGATTGTTAGATTTTATTGAATAAATATACACGAGACAAAAAAGAAAAACAACAAAAAAAATGAATAAACAAAAAAAAAAAGAAGAAGGAAAATTCTTATGTCAAAAAAATGATGGATTGTAATTATTTGTTTGATAAACTGATGTTGGATAACGTCCATACGGATTAAAATGCATTGGAGTAGATGTTGATGGTATTTGATTTGATGTTGGTCCCATATATGTATAAGCCGGATTATAAATCATTGGTGTTGGATCACTGGCATAACTACTGTAAAATGAATTTGATGGAAAATGTTGATGATATGATGTTGAAAAATTCATTGAATTTATATCACTGTCTTGTTCATGATCACCAACACTATTATCTAAATATGTTGGTGTCGTAGAATCAGCTATAGCTCCATGCATTGTCGATTGTAATGGTGGTGAATTGGAATTTATTGATAATAATGATGAATCACATTTATATGGACGATGAAGATTTTCATCATATTTTAATGGTTTATCAGATGGAAGACATGATTGAAGACGTTTCAATGGTTTAGAATTAATTCTATTAAAAAGAAAATACAACATTTGTTTATTTCGAATGTAAATATATACTTTTTAACATGAGTTGGTTCACGGAAACCTTTTGCAAATGGATTATTATTAATTTTTAATTTAGTAATCTAGAATAAGAAACAAATTAGTTCTATAATTTGTAAAACAAAAATTTTTACTTGATCATTTTGATAAGCCGTAACAGCAATGAACACTGTTTCTTCAAAAATAAATGTACTTAAAGGACCTGTTCGCATAGAATAACTATCCGATGCTTGTACAATATGTAAACGAGGAATATAACGATGCATTGAATTAAGAATAATCTTTAAATAAGGAGAACAAAAAAATAGAATTTAAAATTTTGTTTTTCTTCTCAAGAAATATTTACATGATTAGGATTTTGCATTGGACTATTTGTTATTTTAACTTTATTAAAAAGAATTGATTGTTTCATCCATTGTGAACCTGTTTGTGGGCTATCAGGATGAACATAATATCTAAATAATAATCAATTAATGAATCATAATCATATAAGAGATTTTAATTTTACCTTCCATAAATATGTGGTTCAGCTTTACCAGATATATTCCATGCAGATTCATGATATTTATAACGATTATCGTCCATAGGAACAATATCTAATAGAATCATATATTTTGTATTTGGATCAAGTTCACTAACAGAAACCCGAAGATTAGGAAATAGACGACGACCATTCCTACTTAGATTGAAATATTGTTTTTATTTAGTTAAAATATTAAAAAATAATATTACTTTGTTATAATCATTTCATTATGTATAAAATCGACTCCACAAATCCATATCATCAAGTTTAACTCGAACTTTCGAATCAAGTCTTTCTCTTTTCATATCTAAAAGTATTACATTTTATTTTTATTCTTGAAAATAAAAATTTGAAATCAATACCTGAACAACCAAAATAATTCACCGGATCCATAGTTGTATTTGAATTTGATGTTGATGGATAAAATGAATTATACATATTTGCAGCAGCAGTAAATGCAGCCATAGATGCGTAGGCTGATGAAGCAGCACGTTGGAAAAGATTATTGTCGTCAAGCATGACAATCTTTTGATAATTTTTTTTCACACAAACTCAAAGTTACCACACCCTTCTTCAGCACTAAGAAAAACTTGATAAAAAACACACTCTTTTCTGTTTCCTGTTGATAATAAAAGAAACAATAGTGTTTTTTTTTTCTTCTCCTATTTTTTCTGCTCCTCATTTCTTCTCTCTTTCCCTCTCTTTCGCGTTTTTTCTTCTACGATTATCCACCAATCAAATGTAAGAGAATTATATACTCGTTCTCAATCAATAATTCTAATCTAAACTTCTTATAATATAAAATTTTATTTCTTAAGATAAATAGATATTCACCTGTGTGTTTAAGACGATTGTATATATTTTATTTATTGATCTAATCATCAGTTATAAATTAATATTCAATTATTCCAGCTGTTGTATAAACAAACTGGATATCGACCAAAAAATAAAGTTAAAACGAACGATGAGCTCATTAAAGCGAAGAAAAAGAGAGGCCAAATAAGTGAGATCGTGAGAGAAATAGATAGCAGAATAAGTTCGTTGTTTCCGTTTGATAAGGTGTCAAATGAACAAGTGAACCATACGGTACATATGTCATTATAAATAAAATAAACATCAAAAATGCAAATCAAATATGACAATAGAAGATCTCTCGAGATCCTAACCGAATCGCAAAAAGAAATGTTTGTAAATAACTTTTTCTTTTTGAGAATCACAACTAACTGTGATCTATATTGACTTGTTTAATTCGTTTTCTTTTTCTTTTCCTTTCCCTTTCGATTAACAATTGTCAGTTTGTTGTTTCCACACGTTTAGCCTATCGCATGTGTTGTAAGTGAAAGCAAAACAAGATTAAAAAGATGAGTCGACTTGACAGCATTACATCACAGCCTGATGGCAACAAAATATATGATGCTTGTCATTTTAAAAAGCATATGGACTAATTTGCTTTTCTCTTTTAATCAGATGTTAAATATACAACAAAGTTTCGAAAATGGATCATATTTTACAATGATGAGAAAAACGTTGTAGGGCATTTATAGTTTGATCGGACATTATTAAATATATTATCTGATGCGACCTAGTTCAGATAAAAATCATCACACAACGATTAGAGAATAATTTTTATATTACACCTAATTATATAGATGCTCTTTCAATCGATAGGTACAACATCCGAATAAAAAAAAAGTCACACACACATCTATATGTATATATTAATAGATCTTTTCTGTTAGAAGTAAAAGAGAGATGACACCAATACATGTGTGAGTGTAAAGAGCTAAGACCAATTTTCGAAATTTAATCAATTAGAGTAATAATAATTCAATGTGCTAAGAGAATGATTAAATCGAGAATTGGTTTAAAGGAAAAAGAAGTTTTTCAATAAGATGAATACATTTATTTTATCATTCGATCAATTTCAATACCGCATCTCTTTGACATAAATGTCTGATGCTGAAAATTGGAATCAACAAGTTGCTTGCTGCTTTAAGCTATGTTTATCTTTTTTCTTCTTCGATCGGCTACCATTGCTGCTATATTTAACACTATTTATTGCTTTGATCCTATCGGATAATATATTTCTATTAAAGAAGAAAAACCTAATGGTTTAAGAAATGTGTCAATTTAATCGTTCATTATGTCATAAAGGTATCAATGAGAATGAAAACAATATTCATAACCTTGTGTCCACGCGTATTTAGAACATTTCAAATAAAAACAAGAAAAAAAAGCACAATATGTTTGACAATGTTGTTGTCTTTCATCAAAATTCTCGATCTTGGATAAATGTTTAGATATATATATATGAACGACATAGTGTCGGCGATAAAATGGATAAATTGATAGTAATAAAGACATGAAATACCTATATTGTAGTTAAATAGATTCAATTTAGTCATTAATTCATATTGAATACAACGATCAATTTTTTAGAAAAGATTATATGCTATGCTTGATTTCATGTATATAAATTTGTTTGGAATTAATACATTAAAGATTAATTCAAACCGAATGAAATTAAAAATCGAGTCTATTTTACGCACAATTGCATTCACCGCATGTTCACTATTGCTATTATTACGTTTTAGGGATGTAGAAAACAAATGATTGATCTTGCACTATTACTCATTTGCCGTTTTATGCACTGCATGCATAAGCAGTCTAATTGTGATCGGTTTGTCACCTTCGAAGAATAGAGAAAAAGAAATTGATTATTAGTAGCCAGACTGTACTAACAGATAGATAAATATATAAAACAAGTCGCATGCTGTGTTTGTATATCTTCTGATCAACTATTTACATCGGGATCAAGAAGACAAGTAAATGGATGTATTCACATCAAAGTGATCATATATTTTGATAGATAAAAACAAGAAAATTTGATAATGTTACATTAAATTTATTTTATTTTCTAAAATTAACTTGTAAAATTTTTATATTTACACATCGTCTTTCAATATCAAAGAGTGTAATGTTTTATTCATCGATGTAATGCACATGGTCATATTTTTTCCATGATTATATTCAGTTATTTCTATTGCAATTTATTGTGCTAAAAAAACATCGTTCTAATTGTATAACTTATATATATATATGTATATACATGCTGCTCTTTTCACATGTCCACACCCTTTTTTGAATGTCGCCTGAAGTCACTATCATCACCATAAACAAAAATTCATGGATCAATAACTTTACCTATGCGGTAAAAAAAAACAGAAAAAACGTGTAACTAGTCATCATTGTTGACCACCTACAGAGTTTCGACCTGTTTGAGGTGTTTGGACGCGCACTTGTTCAA